CGAACAACTAATACTTTTGTAACAAATCGTAAACAAAAATTATAACTAACTCCTAATATTCTTTTTGAATTATATACCCCTGATTGTTTGCCTTATATTTCACTTCTATTCGAGTTCATCGGGCAAATGGCTACTTTCACATTTTCTCGATATGTCATGGCTCCAAGAGTACGAAAAATGGGTCTCCCGTTTCCGTCTGTCTATCTGTCTGTCCATCTGCCGTCTGTCCTGTTTATTAGACAGATAATCTGCCAAACTACTAGACCGTTTGTTGTCAAATTTTGTACGTATGTTAGAAATATCATGTAGATGATAAAACGCTCCAATTTTTCATAATAAGCAGGGTTTAAATTTTATAAAATAACGTACTCCTATGCATGTTCTTTAGATTTTTCTCGAGCCATCCAGATTTTCGCAAAAAAATCGAAATTATACAGAAATTTTTCTACCAGTATATGGGGAATTCGTACCACGTTATTAGTGAGATTATGGCGTAGTGTTCGCGTTCGGATGCGAAAATTGCGCAGTTTTTTTTTTAATTCTTTAAACAGCGGGATTTGTTGAACTATACCTCAGGGATGGAAGAAATTCTTTCAAAATAAACTTCAACGTTTCGTTTCTTGAACTATACAACTTGTGTTGCGATGGGTTGGTAATAATCTTGTGGCGTAACAACGTAAATTGTGCTTTGTTTTCGCATATTGTTTCTCCAAGTTTCGATAAAAATCACTCTTTTCTAAGGCTACATCTTTATTTGAAAGAGAATCTAAATTGACCAGGTGTATTTTGGCAAAAAAGCAGAATTTTTCAGAAAATCATAAGAAATTCATCCTTGAGTCTCATTCCGTAATGACCAGCAAGTGAATGAAGCTATATTTTTTAAAGACACTCAGTTATGTGATTAAATTGTTTTGTGCACATTAACAAAATGAACTCCCGGAACTGTCGAAAACGTCCGACAGGCTATGGATGATAACTCTTATATATTTTTAAGATATTGTCATACTCAACGTATCAGACATTATTAAAAATGACTTGCCGTTGTTTCCATACAAAATACAGGTGTTTCAAGAACTTAAACTACCTGATTATGAATAGAGAATGATTTATTGTAACAGATTTATCAAACAATGAACAACGATCTTTTCGATATAACATTTTTTATGATGAAGCCTGGTTTCATGTATCAGGGTTTATAAACTCTCAAAATATGACGATGTGGAATGTGGAGAATATGAAAGCCGAGTCAATTTATGTATAGAAGCTGAGGACCAACAATTCCAACAAATGTTGTAAATTCAATTAAAGATATTGTGATAACCCAAAGATCCCGCCTTAAACTGACATCTGAAAAAAAATTTGAAAGCCCGTGAAAAATTCAAAAATTCAAATTTCGGACTACATCAATTTCGTTCTAGAACACAGCAAAATTACCCATAGGGGGCACTGTAGCACGAGCGGAGTTTGGGGCCCCTGGTTGTGGCTGTTCTCCTATCCACGACGGTGATTCTATTCTATCGCAAGCACTGCCGCCCAACATCCCTCTATCACGAAGAAACTATCCATTCTTCTATAGGTCTGCATCCTTTGTGCAGATGGCCCGACCGCTAGCTCGACAAGAAACCGCGCACTCCGCTTCCGCCACGTGTTTCTGTGTTATTTACCTCAATTCCGTTTAAGTGTTCACTTTCTACGACTCTGATATTAAACTACAACTGAAAAAAAGAGCAATAAACAACATTTAAATTCACCATACACTCTCGTGAAATTTTTAAACAGCAAAGAATTCTTATCTGAGAATAGGATTGGACATCAGACAATTTATATGACAACAAAATATGTACAAAAAAAACTAGCAAAGCTTTATAAAAACAAAAAAGATCTAGTGTGAAATAAAACTTGAGCAGACAAAAATATTACGTGAGGTTAGGAACTGCAGAGCTTGAGAAGTTACGTTCAATTTAAATTACGCAACAAATAAAATTACTGTGGCTAAAATTGCAAGATAGTGAAGAATTGTATAAGCTGAAAATTTGCAAAGCTAACAAAATTACATGAGGTGAATACAAATTTTATGTCCATTCGAGTTACTGGTTAATTTTTAAAAGTGACGTTCTTCAGCTGCATTGTGGTACCTCGTTTACATTCCCCAAACAAACACAAAAAAAATATCAGGCAATCTGGAGGTTCAAAATGGAGTCGGACGAATGTGATCAATCCTGTGACGCTAAGCAAATAATGATCTAAATCAAAGAAATAAAATGCACGTCCCACATGACCCGCAATGTTGTTAATTTGCTCAATGAGATTTTAAAGATAGAACAAAGAATTTACCTGATGTTAAATTATGCCACACTTTATCAACGATTCAAACAAAGAATTTACATTATGTTAAATGATGCCGTGATCCAAGTGACTGGTTACTTAAAACCATTAGCTTTGTGAGATTGTATCGTGGACTGTCCACAGCGTATCCCAAACAAACACATGATAAATAAATACAAAATGCATCAGGCGTTGCGAGAAAAGCTTCTCGTAGATGTAATTTTCCACGTTGCGAGAAAAATGTTTCGATGATCTGATGATGATAACGATGATAACTGCCTAAAGGGAAAAAGTTTTAATCCACTCGTACCTCAGTCCATGATATTATGAATGCTACCGAACTTTCACGGTCATTTTCCCAGAGTGGGACAACGTTAGATTGATTTAACGGCCGTAAATGAGCTATTAGCAATCTTGTGTGAGGAACTAAGAAGTGTTAAAATTTAACATTTAAGTATAAGCATCCAGAAACCTTATTCATAATCTAATAAAAAAAGGATGAGTCCTGACTAAGTGAATTTCATGAAATCTCCTAGCAAATGCTGTATCCAAACAATCTCTGAATGTTAAGCTTGTGTTAGAACCAGTTAACGATTAAAATCCTAACATGAACTGTGAATTTACAAACAATAAAACAAATTTACACAAAATGCAAAAAATTTGTAAAATTAAAAGCTGTGTCAAGTTAAGACCTACTTTTCGGCCGAATTTGTTATCTCAACAAATTCTTGGATAACTAAATCACAAAACATTATTTTATTAAGTTCCTTCAAGTTTGGACATAGGGAATTAACATGGGGAATTGTGAAAGGCTGTAGAAATCGGATTCTGAAATTATTGCTGAGTCCAATTTCTCGTGAAACGCTCGGTCCTTGGATTAAGCGTGGAAAATCGAAATGTCAAAGTGAATTTAGAAATTATTCCTCAATTTCCACTCAGAAATCACTGAACAACTCAAATTGAATTATTTTATCCAGTGTAATGATTATTGTAGGGCAATTTAAACGGAATAAATGCACAAATTGCACAAAATATACTAAGTGCAAAAAAATCCGAACACTTGGATAGAATAATAATTTTTTGAAAATCTTTTGGGTTTACAGTCTACTACTTACTACTAGTAAATGATGAAAAATTCAAATGGAAATATTAACACCTAAGCTAGTAATGGGTTGGAGCAGCCCTGTTATTGAGGCATTCGTTTACACGTCTTGGCATGGACCTAATGAGTCGATCAATGTCATCCTGATTTAATTCATCTCGAGCAGCTTATACTTCACGCTTCAGGTGGTTTAAAGTTTGTGGTGGCCGCTGAAAATGAGTTAAACGTCGTCCTATCATATCCCATACATGTTCTATGGGTGAGAGGTTAGGAGATCTAGGAGGCCATGGCAATAACTCCACTTCATACTCTTCAAAAAAGTTAAAAGTGTTTCTAGCGATGTGTGGACGCGCATTGTCTTGTTGAAAACCAAGCCCAAGTTGCGTTCTTAAGAAGTGAAGCAGATGTGGTTCTACCACTTCTTCCACATATCGCGGAGAGGTCGTACTCCCCCTAATAAACTCTTACGTAGATCTACTACCGTAAGCAATGCACCCCCACACCATTAATCCTACTGTGCGGTGTACATGTCTTTCCATAGCAAATTGAGGATTTCGTCTTTCTCCACGTCTTCTTCTCACTGACATACGGCCATCATACATGGATAAACAAAAACGCGATTGGTCACTGAATGCAACAGTGTTCCATTCCTTGTCCCATCCACTACGTTCCCTGCACCATTCGAGTCGTTGACGCTTATGTGCAGGTGTTAAAGTTAAAGCAAAGTGTGGGTGGTAAGTTTTAAGGACAAAAGATCTAATACGGTAGTATACGGAACGCATGTTTATAGGTCTAACAACATCAGCAAACCATTCGTTGGCAATTGCCCGAGTTGTAGACTTTCGGTTTCTTAGAGCTAACAAACGCAGACGATAATCTTGGCGCCCAGTGGTAGCTCTTGGTCGCCCGGATCCTGTAGCTCTGTGTCTTCTACCGTCTTGACTTCACGCCTGCCAACATTCCGTCGCTGTAGACACAACTCTGTTAACACGAAGTGCAATTTCTAAAGGACAATATTGCTCCATGCATGCCTATTATTCGACCCTTATCAAAATCACCTAATTGTGAATACTGAAGACGTCTTCGCACTGGGGGCATGTTAACGGCTTTTTAAGGAATTTAAATTGTCGAAATCGAATACCGAAAAACGTCAAAATTTTACAGAACAGCCCCATCTTGCTAGACCTCAAATCAGGACAATAAAAATTAAAATGACGTAAAAGTTCTTCAATTGTCTTCATATGTTCATCATTTCTTACTTATACAACAACCAATGTGTGTATAAAATTTCATTTAAAAATATTGACGTTTTCAAGATGTTCGGATTTTTTTTGCACTTAGTATATGTTTTTATATGCTGCTAGTGCCGGTCGATTTTACTAAGTTTTTATTATTAAAATCTCATTAAAAGGCGATTAGATGAAAAATATCATTAAAACAACAGCTGGCGGTTTTGAAAAGACCCTTTTAACAAACCATTTAGATAACAACATAACCCTAACATTACCTATTAAAAAACCCAAGATCCCGGTTACATCTTCAAAAAAACAAACTCCTCACTCTCACTTCGCAGGTGGACCCCAACGACCAAAACGGCCCCGACCTGGAAACGAAAATGGAAGAAATGAAGCAGAACATCCGCAAGGCGGAAACGGCCAAAGCCAAAGCGGAAGCGCGGATCGAAGCCCTCCGCGACGGCGGTGTGAACGTGGATGAGTGGCTCCAAGAGGCCGAATCGCTCAACGTCCAAGACATTCAACGTTCGGCCAGCTCATTATCGGTGAGGACTTACGTTTCGACGACGGGGGTGAGATAAGTGTGTGTCGACATTTATTCGATCGAAATTTGCTGCTTACAGGACCATCCCAGTTCGGACTCGTTCTACGACAGCGACTTCGCGGACGGGGAAACGGTAACGGTACAGCCGCCGCAAGTCGAAAAGCAACAAGACAAAGACAGCGTAGGAAGTCAGCAAGATCAGTTTGAGAACGCTGAGGTCGACGGTGAGTGGGGTAGGCAAAGAATGAGTTCTTGCACAGTGACGGAGAGGGATGTAGGGGTTGAAGTAGATGAACTCAGTGATTGGCTAGGCAAGATGGCGCTGTGGCATCACTTGTTTTTTAAAGATGTGGTTATTTTCAGCATGGCTAGTAGACTGTAGATACAGGCTATGATAGAATAATTATGTAGGTATATGCTTTAAGCTGGATTTTTACAAATTGTTTTTTATATTTTAAAGTTATTGGTAAACTAATTCATTGTACAAATTGGAACTGAACCATTGAGTTTAAATCTATTTACAGAATTTTTCTATCACGTCAGGTTATTAATATATTCCGGTTTGTACATAAGAGTAAAATGCAAATTAAAGTCTGGAATACAATTTTCTTAATTCGTATCGCAGATTTTTGACAAAAGTTTTCTATTTTCGTTTATCACCCTGTAGATCTGTTTTTATCATTACGGTATTCCAACCTAAGACTATATAGTAACAATTCAAAATAGTTCGAAAAGACTATACTTGAGATAAAATTCCAATTTGTCATTATAGTATCATCCGGATCTGGATATTAAAAACTGGAATGCAAGCATAGCTAGTACATACATCTAATTTTAAAATTATTGATTGGTTAAAATATTTACTCTATACTCTAAAATGACAAAGAATATCGTCTACATACTTCAAACACACCCTTAAAAATATTCGAACTTTGTTGCAAACCCTCTTCAAAATACTTTATGAAAAGCAAAGCTATAAAAGGAAACAATTTTGTTGAAAAACTGTCCGCTAACTTGAAAAATCTTCTGTTTCATACTGATATCGTAGTCCTTTTTCAGTCACCCATTCTTCAGTACAGATCCGTTTAGGTGACTGAGACACTCCAGAAATATACATATAAACTAAACTAATAACTTGAAAGTGAAAGAAATGTGTTAGTTATAAAACGCAAACGGCGCTTTATAATGAGAAAATATAATTATTATTAGAGACACCGCACAGAAGATAAAACTGTAAATCAGAAATACTAAAATCCACCTCAGACTTCCGGGACCCTCTGCTTGCTATAGATAACTTCTCTCAAGTTTAAAGCATATTATTCATAAGTATCGTTGTTTGTTCTTGTCGGAGCAGTTTGAACCCTGGCAATTTCAGCCAACATAATGGTATAGGGTGCCAGTTTGATAATGTATAAACAGATGATACACACATAAAGCTGTGTTGTTTCATCTCAGTGTTTAAACATCCTGCATCAGCAGCATCAGCCAGCTTTATTAGCGAAATACCTTTTCATTTTATGTCAGATTGTTTTAGAGATGTTATTTCCTTTCGGTGAGAAGAAGAAAAATGATGCGTTACAAGCAAGCAAGTTCATCGACCGAGTAGTTCGGAAATCAGATATACGAAATAATATTAGCTGAATAAGTGTTTATCAAGAGATCACCCCAACTTAATAAAATCGATACAAAGACACACTTTGCATATACAGCGGAACCTCCGACTGAATTTTTACGATCTTCAATAACATTAACTTAAGGAAAAAGCGATCAAATGTGTCTAAATTTTGCGATCACGTTTCGAAGATATTTATGAGTGTCACGTTTAGTTTGGTCCTCTAAAAGTTTGTCCAACTTTTTAGTTTGTTTAAACTTGATATTAACAGAATTGTTAGAATTTACTGATACAATCGGAAAAAAACAATATAAGTATTTAAATGATAAAATAACAAAAATTGAGGTGGCTGTTACAAGTTTTACAGATTTAAGTTAATAACCTTAACAAATTTCTTTTGTTCTTCTAATTTTTAATTCTTATTTAAAACTAAAAATTTAAAAATTAATTTTTGACTTGCTTATAGTAGAATTTTTGTATGTCATCTATGCAAGATATTTATTGCTTACATTTTTGCATGTAATGTAGATGCAAGAGGAAAGTCCCAATTTATATTAACGCCATTTTTATGGAAATCGTAATTTTTAGCAATGGAAAATTTCACAGTAAAATCGCAATAAGGTTTTTTTAATCTGGATTACAATGGAGAGATACATCAAGAGACGCGTTTTATTGTGCTAAAATTAAAATTGAGTGTCTGGAAATTGGTGGATTAACTGTGCAGTACGTTATGTACGTGTATGTCGGGAGTCCCAAAAAATAATAATAAAAAACTTCTTTATGATGTAGATTAGGAAAAAAAGTAAAATTGGCAACCCTTTCACCTACCTAATGCGTGAATACCTCTGGCTTATTTTCTGATTTCTTAGTACCGATGGTAACTGAAATCCACCTTTTATTTTTCATTAATAAGTAAACCAAGAAACAAACATTTAATAATCCATTTATACATTATAAACAAAAACAAAACCAACAAACGAAAATTCCATTACAGCATGAACCAACTGAACACAAGAGAAGATGTTCAAAATTCCTGCCTTGTGCAAATAAGTAAGCTCGTAATATTTCCAAATTTTGATCATTTTTTGTCAAAGTTAGTCATCAATTCTGGCTAAGATAAAAGGGAGGGTGGGTGGGCGGGTCTACTACCTTTTAAGTTAAGGCTGATTTTGGCAAATGACATACCCTCTAAGAAAAGAAGGGTGGGCGGGTGGGGCTAGTTCCTGCTAAGATAAGACTGATTTTGGCAAATAACATACCTTCCAAGAAGAGAGAGGGTGGGTGGGTGGGGTTAGTACCTGCTAAGATAAGACTGATTTTGGCAAATGACATACCTTCCAAGAAGAGAGAGGGTGGATGGGCGGGGCTAGTACTTGCTAAGATAAAACTGATTTTGATAAATGAGGTACCCTCGAAGAAAAGAATAGCTGGTAAAATTAACCGCGAACATTTTAAACATAGGGTCCAAAAACTTTGACAATTTTTGATACGTCAAACATTTTTAAATGCTTATTCGAGTTTTACTGATTTGGACCTTCGCTTCGTATCAGGTATATTCTAAATGAAATGATAATAATTAAACATGATTACGGGCGAGAGAAATCTTAATTAAAAGTTTTATTACTAGTTATTGTGATAATGAATGTGTTGTTTAATTATTAAACAAGCAAAAGAACCAATTTTAAAATCATTATAACTCCACCAAAATGTGAGAAGAAATTTTTTTACTATTTTTCCCAGACTCACCAGTTGATTGTCAAGAGCGTAGGAGAGAGTTTATCCGCCATTTTCCAGACACTCGGTATAAGAAATTTGTATACATTTGTATGTATGTATTCTCTGGTTAAATAAAATGTGAATATTTCGAAAGAATTGGAAGGATTGGATTTGGAAGAGAAAAACACAAAGATTTGTTAAAAAAACCTTGAGAGTACTATCCAACATTAAAACAAAAACTAAGAATTTCATTGAAAAAATTGATTGTGACGTGAGAGGCTCAAAAGTGGATGAAAATTGTGAAAGTTAGTCATCAGTTCTGGCTAAGATAAAACTGATTTTGACAAATAACATATCCTCTAAGAAAAGGGAGGGTGGGTAGGCGGCTCTACTACCTGTTAAGATAAGGCTGATTTTGGTAAATAACATACCTTCCAAGAAGAGAGAGGGTGGGTGGGTGGGGCTAGTACCTGCTAAGATAAGAGTAATTTTGGCAAATGGGATACCCTCTAACAAAAGAGAGGGTGGGTGCGCGGAAGAAATTTAATTAAATTATTATAAGAAAAGACTAGAGGCTCCAAAGCACTTTCAAATTTTTTCCAAACAGGAATACCTACAACAGCAACATTGTTTTAAACCAAAAAACAAAGAAACACCAAAGATCCCTATAATTGTTTCAAATAATTTACAAAAAAAAAATCTCCATAAGCTGCCAAAATATGGATACCCAAGAGTCTTCCGAATTAAAAAAAAAAAACACTGCGGCACTCAGGGCTTTTTCAAATTCACTCATAAAAAATAAAACACTAAAAACTTTTTCAAATTCATCCAACAACAAAACATCCGATTCCTTTAAATGTATATATTTATTCGAAAATAAAACACCAGGGGACATAAAATTAACTACGAACATTTTAAATGGAGGGTTTTTGTTTCCTTTTATTTTTGTTAAGTATTTTCTATATTTAAGGTTAATGGTTATTTGATGGTTATTCATATTACCTCTTTTTCAAAGGACACACTGACATATTGAAAGAACGAGAACAAAAAATTGAATAAGAGACAGTAATAAAATACACGTGTTCAAATTGACAAAAATTGAAATATAGTTATGTGAAAACTCTACAGTTTATTTTTTTTATGAACACTCTATATATCAGTGATATTATATTAGTTGATGTCATAACAAAGTGTGTACCTCTGTTTATCTCTCCATAAAAAATTGCAACACAAATCTTAAAAATAACGTTATTGTGATTTGTTTTGTGAACCCTTACATTGCTGAAAAAATTCAAAAAATTGAAATTGGTATTGCAAAGCTTAGCAACAGGCGAATATTTATAGCCCTCCAGCTTCGCCTTCTCCCTACACAGTGCATCCCGTAAAAATCGCACTACTCATTCTCTATATACAGGGTGATCAAAAAGAGTACAGTAATACTATACTTAAAGAATGTTTACTGAGCAAGGAAAAAATAATTTAAAAAATTATGGCGCTTATAAAATCTATCGGACTTTCGTTATTCAAAATAACTGTGGAAGTATCACCGTTTTCTTCATTTTACAATAAACAAAAAATAAAAAATTTATTCGGAATGAATCTGACAACAGTGGATAATTTTTCACCTGTTTTAATCTGTCCTTTTAAAACGACATTTTGTTTGTGTGACGTATTTAAAACAAAGGCATTTTTTAATGATTTTTCTCGAATATTATATATTTATTTCTAATTACTTTTTTTTCAACACATATATTGTTGGAAATTCTATATCCAATCATCTTGAGCAGGTACCTGGGGTTGTGAGAGGTGGGGGTGTGTCCCACCCACCCCATTTAGTCGGTACCGGTACACACAATTATGTAGTAAGAGTTCTGGAATAAATCCCAAGTACAACGGTCGCAGTGT